TTTCCAAGTGCTGAGATTAAAGGCATGTGCTACCAATCCTGGGACCTAGGACATTTAAAAAAATATTTATTATTTTTATTTTATGTGTATGTGTGTATTGCCTTCGTGTAGGTAAGTGCACCTGTGTTGTGCAGTGCCCACACAGGACAGAAGAGGCTGTCTGATCCCCTGGAACTGGAGTTACGGTCATTTGTTAGCTGCCATGTGGGTGCCGGGATACAAACCGGCAAGAAGGACCAGTGTTCTTAACTGCTGAGCCATCTCTTCAGCCTGACCTAGGACATTTTTAATGGAAAAATCAGCTTTTGTGGCTTGTGCTACTAGTGCTTTTACCTACTGAACTGTGTCTACCTTGCTTGTGGTTTTGTTTGTTTGTTTGTTTTTTTTTTGCATGTATTTATTTATCTATATATTTTATGTGCGCATGTGTGGAGGACAGAGGACAGAGTCCCTTTCCACCATGGGGAGATCAAACTCACATCAGGCTTAGTGACAAGTACCTTACCCACTGAGCCATCTCACCACAAAAAAAGAGGTAAAACTTTTCTCTCTTTGCATTTCTCAAAGGAAGTTGAATTTGCAATTAGCACGGAAAAGAGTTCTAAATCTCCCTGCAAGGACAGATTTTAAGAATTGTGGAATACTGGTAAAACAGATTATTGCTCAGTGATTAAAAAAAAAAATAAGAATGAACTGATATAGCATGGCTTAATCTCTAAAAAGGTATGTACAAAAGACAAATTGAGTACATGTTCCATGGTTCCTTCTGTCTGGCGTTTGGATACAGAAAGCAGTCATTGTTGCTTTGGCAGAAGACTGATTAAAAAGGGACAGAAAGGAACTTCCAACAGGTGGTGGAAGTGGTCTGTGCATGGTGATACCTGTCATTGTTGAAGAATACATTATAAACCTTATTTGTACATTTCACTGTGTCCATTTTAATAAAAAAAAATCCTCTCTCTTGTTCAGTTTTGTTGCAGGAAGTCTTTTTTTCGATTTTTATGTGTGTGCATGTTTGCATATGTGGGAGGGCACACTTGTGTGGGTGTGCATGTGGAGGCCAAGGTTGATGTCAAAATCATTCTTGATCATTCTTCCAACTTGATTCATTGGAGTGAGGTCTCAGCACTCATCCAATTCTTTGATTCTCAGACACTTATAAGAAATTGACATGTGGGTGCTAGAGAGCTGGCTCAGTGGTTAAGAGCACTAGCTGCACTTCCAGAGGACCTAGGTTCAGTTCCCAGCACCCACATGGTGGCTAACAACCATCTGTAACTTCGAAGGGATCTGGCGTGCTCTTCTGACCTCAGGCACTCCACAACACAACTGCAGTTACATACATGCAAGTAATACACTCACGCACATAAAAATATTTGTTTTTTGGCCAGGCGTGGTGGCGCATGCCTTTAATCCCAGCACTCAGGAGGCAGAGGCAGGCAGATCTCTGAGTTCAAGGCCAGTGTAGTCTAGTTCCAGAATAGCTGGGGCTTCAGGGAGACACTGTCTCAAAAAGACCGAATATATATATATATATATATATATATATTTTTATTTTTTTTTTAAGAGGCTGACAAGTGTCTAGAGAGATGGCTCAGCCATTAACAGTACTTGTTGCTCTTCCAGAAAATCCAAATTCAGATCCTAGCCCCACAAGATCTGATGTCTTCTGGTCTCCACAAACATCTGTGCTCACATACACCTGCATCCTCCACCCCTTCCCCAGACCTCACACGTGCATACACATAATTTAAAAATAAGTCACTTTTTAATATTTTTATGTGTATGAGTGTATTGCCTGTATGTAAGTGTACCTATGTCTTGCAGTGCCTGAGAACAGAAGGTGTTGGATCTTCTGGAACTGGAGTTAGGGAGTTAGCTGCCATGTGGGTGCTGGGAATTGAACCTGGGTCCTCTGCAAGAGTAGTCAGTGCTCTTAACCACTGAGCCATCTCTCCAGCGCTGAGGTTTTGATTTTTGGTGTTTTTTTTTTTGTTTGTTTGTTTGTTTGTTTTTTGTTTTTTTTTTTTGTTGATACAGGGTCTCCCTATAGCCTCAGTTGGACAGAATTCACTATGGAGATCTTTTTAAGAGTACTGTTTTCTTGCAGTTAAGTGGGGTGAAATCTCCTTACAAGATAACTGTTTAACTGTGTATTTGGAAAGTCGAAGCAGGAGGTCCAGTGTACCAAGCAGGGCATGGTGGTGCACATCTTTAATCCCATCACTTGAGAGGCAGAGGCTGGCAAAGCTCTAAATTCAGGCCAGCCAAGACTACATAGTGAGACCTTGCCTCAGAATCAAAAACGAGATCGAATATAGGCAGTGGGATGAGTTAAAATGTACAATTAATATTAAATGTAACTGGAGACTGAAGAGAAAATTTAGCCTAATTTTTAAACATTTTAATTTTTTATATGTATGAATGTATTGCCTGAATATATGTAAGTGCACCCATGTTGTCCAATGCCCATGAAGGTCAGAAGAGGGTGTTGGATTCCCCTGGAACTGGAGTTACAGTTGTTAGCTGCCATGTAAGTGCTGGGAATTGAACCCAGGTCCTCTCCAAGAAGCAGCCCCTGATCTTAACTGCTGAGCCATCTCTCCAGGCCCTAGTCTTTTTTTTTTTTTTTCGGTCTTTTTGAGACAGGGTCTCCCTGTAGCCCCAGCTGACCTGGAACTCACTATATAGACCAGGCTGGCCTCCAACCCCCAGAGCCCCACCTACCTCTGCCTCCTGATTACAGGCGTGCACCACCACACCCGGCTCTAATTTTTTTTTTTTTTTTTTTGTCTCTTTGAGACAGGGTCTCCCTGTAGCCCCAGCTGGCTCGGAACTATGTAGACCAGGCTGGCCTTGAACTGAGAGATCTGCCTGCCTCTGCCTCCTGAGTGCTGGGACTAAAAGCCTGCACTACTACACCCAGCTCCCTTGCCTAATTTTTAACAGATATTATTTGTGACAATTATTTGTCACAAATAATTGCATTAAAAAGTACTCTTGGGGACTGGAGAGAGAGCTCAGCACTGGCTGCTCTTGCATAGGACCCTGCACCCACATGTCAGCTCACAACCATCCATAACTCCAGTTCCAAGGGATCTAACACCCTCTTCCGACCTTCAAGAGCATTGCATGACATGGATACACTTACCTACATGTGGGCATTAATTATACTCATAAAATAGTACTCTTGGGACCCATGAGATCAATGATGGCTAGCAGATAAAGGTTCTTGCCACCAAGCTTGACTACCTGAGTTTGCTCTCAGGTACCCACATGGTGGAAGGAGAGAATGACTTCTCAAAAACATGTATGCATGTATCCAGACACATTAAGTGTAATTAAAAAAAAAAAAAACTTGTCACATACAGGACATCTTCAGACTTCAGGTAGTATTTCTAGTAGAAAACATAAATATTTCATGCAAATGAGTGCACAGAGCATCAGAATTTGAAGGAACAGTATATCCATAGTAAGAAAATCTTAAGGTTGAATTCTACAAACTAAATGCAAGGAAACCAGAAAAGGAGAGGCCCTAAGCACAACTTTAAAAATGTTTTCATATAGCATCAAAATGGCCATTAAAGCTTTAAATAATCTAAAGAGGGCAAACTTTATGGAGGTTTTTTTTTTTTTTTTTTTTTTTTTTTTTTTTTTTTGGAGGGGGGGCCCCCTGCCCCCCACCAACTGGCCTGGAACTCACTATTGTAGACCAGGCTGGCCTTGAACTCAAGAGATCTGCCTGCCTCTGCCTCCTGAGCTGGGATTAAAGGCGTATACCACCATGCCCGCTGAGTCCTGCTTTGTTTTTCTTTTAATATGTGTACGCGTGTATTGCTTGCATGTAGGTCCGTGTCGTGCAGTGCCTGTGGAAGAAGAGGTTGTTGGATCCCCTGGAACTGGAGTTACAGACAGGTGTTAGCTGCCATGTGGGTGCTGAGATTCAAACCTAGTCTTTTTTGCGGCAGGGTCTCCTTGTAGCCCCAGCTGTCTTGAAACTCTGTGTTCAAGCTGGCCTCCAACTCACAAAGATCCGCCTGCCTCTGCCTCCCAAGTGCTGGGATTAAAGGCGTGCACCACCACGCCCAGCCTGGAGTCCTGCTTTTTAAAAATTTTTCATTTTATGTGTATGAGTGTAATGCCTGCATGTATGGAAGTGCACTCATGTCATGTAATGTCCGAGGTCAGATACCCTGGCACTGGAGTTAGGACAGTTGTTAGCCACCATGTGTCTTCTGGGAACCGAACCTGGGTCTTCTGCAAGAGCAGCCAATGCTCTTTACTAAGCCATCTCTCCAGCCCTGAGGAGTCCTGCTTTATCACAAGCTTGCTTACAAATTGTTTAGACTAAGACTGATTTTAGTGCCAGATTCATTACTAAACTCTGGTTTCCCATAAGGACAGCCGAAGCAGGAAGTCATTCTGTTTCATCCAATGAAAAATGTACACAAAACCAGCTGTGGTGGTGCACAGCTGTAACTCCAGCACTCACATCGCAGAGACAGGAAGATCACCAAGTTTGAGGCTAGCCTAGTCTGCATACTGAGTGTATCTCTCCCTCCACCCAAAAGATGAGTGTATATATATATAGGAACATACTGCTGCCATTTTTTTTCTTGCCCTTGCACAATAAAGAAGGGCACATGCTATTTTGGTCTCTTGAGCTTTATTAAAAATCCTGAATTTAGAGATTCATAGCTTGGACAAAATAATCACTGATGTTTTTCCAACTCTACTGTCCACATAAAACCACATACTATGATGATATTATCAAGTATTTCCTATAACCCTTCCCAAAGGGTTGCAGTTTCGTTTTGTAAGATCATTCATAGCATACAAGAGCCTTGCACACCAAGCAAACATGTTTGCATATTCCTGATAACAGCCTATTAGGTCTGTTCAACAGATCTGCTAGTAGATGTTTCCAATACTTGATACAAAAATAGTTACAGAAAATGGCATAGGATAGTATAACAGGTGATTATAAACAGACAAGCACATCAGAAGGGAAGATGACAAATTTTATTGTTACAAAACAAAAAATTTTAACTTCAGTCATTTGAGTAATTCCAAGAGCAGACTAAGGGCTTAATCCTCACACAGGCACCAAGTCAGGCACAGTAGGTAGCTACAAATCATAAAAGGGCTTCTTTCCTACCTAGAATACTCTTCATCTTTCATGCTTTGGAATTAGGTTAAAAACCCAACCTAGTCAGTTTCCATTATTTTTTTTTTTCTAAATGAGATCTAGATGTTAACTAGTTTAATGAAAATTAGTCACTAAATCCTGGCCTGAGATCCACATTTCCTTTAAAACAAATAGAAGAATCTAAAGTGTGCACATTTCTGAGAGCCCAAATGCAGACCTTGCAGGCTCAGACCTCAGTCTCACCTTATGCATGTGGGAGAATGGAGACGAAGACCATCACCTGAGCTGAGGAGGGCCAGAGCTCCAGCTCCAGCACAGATACTTCCCAGGACAGCAGGAAAGGAGGTAGCAAGGACTCAGGCTGACATCTGAAGCATTAATAAGCTAATGTGCCTGGCAGAGGGGAGCCTCATGAAGCACAAAATGCCATTCACCTGTGCTGTCCACAAACCTGAGGTTTCCATGTCAAGATTTAAAGGACACAGTGGCATGTGTGACAAGGCAGAAAAAAAGCAATTATCATTTTGGGGGCTGCTTAAGAAATCCAGCTGTTTTCTGCCTAATTGGACCTAGTGCCTATCTGTTTGCCCTTACATTGGAGAACATAAAAGGTTTAAATGTCTACTTCCACACCTCCAGGCCCTTGTTAATCCTTATAAACAACTCAGCTAGCATATTACTGTTTCAAGGAAGCATAGGATTAGAGGTATGTGAGAAGTATATTTATTGAAGGGAAGACTCAGTAAGTTCTAGGATTCTAAAAATCAAGACTATCCCAGAACCAAAACCTTCAAGTACTAAATCTACCCTATCTGAATTCTGGTTCAAATGCAACTGACTGAATTACTACTGGAAAATAAGAACACTTTTTATTCCACTTACTATGAAATCTAATATAACCAACTGCTAAATTTAAACCTACTAAATCTTTTGAGTTGTGCATATGTAATTATATTTAACAAGTTGCTGCCATGGCAAGATCTCTAAAGAAACAAGATTGTGAATAATTAGAATCACTGAAAAATTAGCTAGAAGAAATTAATGCAGCATTTGGAGACAGATAATATAATCACCCCCCAAATTCAGTTGACTGCTCTTTATCTACATGTCTGTGAGAGGATTAATTGCACAAATTATTCTAATAAGGTAGGCCAACACTGAATATAATATTTAATCATTCTATAGTCAGAGCTATAGTGCTGTAACCAGAATTTTCACAAATGGTTTGAAGGTTGAAAGTTGCCTGATGTTAAAAGCTATAGCTTTGTCCCATGACTATCTGAATCTCTACCCAAAGCAATGAAGTTATCGCCCAGAAAGCAGCAGTCTGTAAGCAAGTCCATGCCAGTGAGGAAAGGTGCTAGAGTGCTGTCATATGTAAACAGTCATCCAAGATCATGGAATAATTACTAGTGTTCCTGAAGATGGCCAAGGGAGTTCAGCTGACTTTTTTTTTTTTCAAATGTTCATCATGGGAGTTTTTGACATAGAGGTCAGCTTTTTCTTAAGTTGTCAAACTGCATCTGGTTCCAAGTATGAGCCAAAATATTTGCAGTGCTTCGAATGATGCCAGTAATTGTTCAACTTTCAAAGTCCCATACTGTAAAAGTAGATTGTGTGGTTTCCATAAATAGCAAACAATAATAATTACCTTACAGTGAATAACTTGTACTTTAGGTGACAAACTTTTTAATTACCATATATTTCAAGATTTTTTTAATTCAAAACTAGGAATAAAAATGGGTTTAATCATTCACAAACACTTAACTATTTGTCACTTAATTTCAAGCAATACATACTCAGTCCTCTTGTAGTTTGGTTTGATATAGGTTTTTCACTGGTTAAGTTTTTGCAAATTATATATAAAGAATGCTAAAAGTGCTGTATTTCCCTTTCTTCCACAGTAAGAAATAAAGATTTAAGGTGGCAGTTAATTAGATGTTTTTAAATGCTATCCCTTAAAATTCCATCTATTCACTTAAAAGTTTTAAATAACCTAGCATAAGGTTGTATAAAGACCATCAATATAAAATGAGGCAAAATTATGATTTAACATGACCATGTTAAATATGGTTAAAAAATGTTAAGGTCTTTAATATCCTGAATGTGTAGTCAACTACCCTATTTTTGCATTGTCAAACACATAGTTTACAGTTGCAGAAGACAGAATGACAGCACAAGAATCTGTATTGCTCTTTAAAAATTCAACATCTGCACACGTTCAAAGTTTCAGACATTTTATCTCCTTAATCAAATGACAAGTCCATAAATGTATCAGCTCTAAATGGAGATGACACTTTCAAATTTAAAAGTCCCTAAAATGTATGGTATTGATTTTGAACTTGTGTTATAATTCCAATAAAATTTTTTGTACTTTTATTATGTTATCTTGTAGAGGTAGGCCCTTCACAATTGCTGTCCAAGTCATTTTATTTAAAAATCTTGGCAACATGCACATAACATGACAGTGTGTTTTAACAGCAGACAAAACTTGTTTTTAAAAATGTGTTTAATTTCAAAAGGGAAGTCTTTGGAAATTTCAATGACTCAGTTTTAGAGATTTCATTAAGACTCAAGCATTTGCTAGTATTTCTCCTTATTAACATGAAAATATAAAAACTACTTTTCCTCATTAAAGCTCCTGTATTTCACAGAAAAATAAAAGCCCAGAAATTCACGGACATAATAAAATTTAAATCTCATGCAATTTAATAGCCATAAATGTCCTTCTAAGAAGCTATAGGGCACTACCTTTGCCCTGTCCATAAAATAGCAACTCTTCAACTGGAATTTCATACTTAAAAAACAGTAAGTTTTATGTTGTGACTGGAAATATAGTTGCCTAGGCGTTTCTTTTCTGGGGAGCAAGGTTACAGGGAGAAGGGACATATAATTATACACAGTTACAAAGTATCCTAGAGATCATTCACAATAAAAGAGGCCAAGTCTGATAAATGGCAACACACATTCATGAAGGAGGCTTCTGACAGACCCAGAAACTGTCTCTTCCACTTCTCATTTATTCTTATGAAAAATTTCAGTCCTGATAGCTGTAGCAGAAAGTCAGCCTTCAATCTAAAAACCACTACAATGCTGCACTGTGGTTCATCCAAATCATGGTTAGCAAATTCCAGCTTATATTTAAGAAAATTCAATTTCCAAATAATTGAGATAAAACTTATACTGTGCTTGATTCTATTTGTCACTGTTAACTTTAGTCTGAGCAGTTTGTGATGATTCTAAATATGTGTTCATTTAGTTGCTGGATTGAGAATTGCCTTTAACCAGCAAGGATCTACCAACCTTTAAAGTTACTGATACAAAGAGTAAACTGAGTAACTTGTAGAACTGGCACATGTAATTGATATGGTTTTCATACTATACATGCAGCTCTTATAAATACTAAAAGGCATTTTGCCAGTCTCAACATGCTTTCTTTATTGTGAATCCCATTAATGTGACCAGTTATTAATGGAATTTTCTGTAGGGTACAGTTCCATTAAGCTTTACTTATAAAAAACAACAGTCTGCTGTTCTTTCATTTCCAAACAACTTACTATGTTTAAGAAATCATATTAAAATATAAATTGGCAGAAAATAACCAATAGACCTATGGTTAATAAAGCAGTGTCACAGTTGCATAAAGGTGTTTAATTTTATGTATGCATTAACCATCAAAAGAAGAGGTCAAATGAATTCTTTCCTTTAATACAAACTTGAACAGCATCTGTAAATGCCTCATTTAAAATGAGTTGATAAGGAGAGTTTAGAAAAGTCCAAGTAATAAAATGTATTCAATTACTTGGCAGTTAAAAAGCTAATGCAACAATGTTACATCCAGATAAAAAACAGTATTCAAAAGCAATTCAAATACCGAAAAGGGTTTCAAATTGAATATTTTATTAACATGGTAGTTGTCTTTTTAACATGTGCACACACACTCGCACACTCAGAATGATCTGCCTGGGGAAAAAAGACTAACTATACCTAAGGGGAAAATGAAAAATAAAAAAATTCCTGTAGATTTTCATTATTGTAGGCAATTATGTCCACATCACTTACAAAGCTATTGCCAAATCTGTCCAAGGAAGCAAAGTTTGAAAGGGGGAAAAAATCTTGGGGAAAATTCAACAGTGGCATAGCAGAGCTCTCAATATGAGAAAGCTGACATAATGTGGACTTTTGCTGTGAAATTTCTTTGCAAAATATGGGAAGAGGTTTATCAATGGGCAGAAAATAAGAGAAGGCGGTGTGAAGTAGGCTTTTGCAGTCATTTTTCCTCACAGTATTGTGCAGGGTCATCAAGAAAATGCTTAGTCTTTCTCTGGAACCAGTTTCAGAACTTTTCCAATTGCAATGGTCTTACCTAGAAATAAAATGTATTAAGGCTTATTAACCAAACAAAATGTTTTCACTATACAAATTACTGATTAATAGCTTTATTCACTAAAACCATGATTTCTGGTTATTTAATTTTAAGTGAGTCTTACTGAGACATGGCATGTTAATACAATACCATTAAAAAATTAATGAATTACAGTGCATGCAACAATGTGGCTGAACTTTTAAAAATATGTCTAGCACTTGTAATGCTAACTACTCTTGCCTTTACTTCTCCTTCACATCTCCTATTCATGACTCAAGGACTTTCTTCTCCCCTTACAGACAAAAGTTATGCAATTTGGGAGTCTTTTAGATAGACCCACTGAAGGGGCACTCCAATTGCCTCACCCTGTGTCCCTGTTCAGCATGGAAGAAGCCAGAGCGGTCTGCATCCCAATTCCCTATTGGCAATTTGGGTAACCTCTTCAGAGGATGGCGTGATAACAACAGGATGTAGGAACTGGCTAGGCAGTTAGGGTAAAAAGACCCCAAAGAAAAGTAGCCAGTCTCTTAGCTAAAAGTCAAAATGTCCTTGGGCCTCTTAGAAACACACTGTTCCAAAGACCAAAAATGTCAAGAGTATTTGGGAGCTTTTATCTAATCCCTAAAAGATGTTAGGAGGGAGGAATGTTAAAAATATTCAGAGGGGGGAATGTTAAAGTAGCAAAAATCCCGAAGAAAGAAAGAAAGAAAGAAAGAGAGAGAGAGAGAAAGAAAAAGAAAAAGGAAAGAAAGAGGAAGAGAAAAGGAAAGAATACATGAAGTTGTCAGAAAAAAGTGATGGGGAGATATGGGAGGAGTTGGAGGGATCGTGGATTTGATCAAAACACCTTATATGCATATATAATAACATTTTTTTAAAGTTAAAAAAAATATGGTCCATTTATCCATAAAGCTACCATATATCTTATTGCTACTGTGCTTTAGCAACTAAAAAAGATAGAGCTTGCAATTCAGTGAAAACATCCTTCCAACAGCATACCTATAGGCTCAAGGGGATATAAATACAAATTCAGTGTTCTTAGGAAAACACATTTAAAGCCCAAGTGATCTTCCTCCCTTCATTAACTTCTATTGAGTTGAACATGGTGCAAATGTGTGTAATCCCAGCACTTGGGAAGCTAAAGCAGATGGACCACTAATTCAAAGCTAGCTGGGCTACATAATGAGTTATACATCAAAAGACTGCCTCAAAAAAATAAAAATGTTATCTCAGCAAATTAAGGAATTTAAAGTGAAACCAGAACCTGGACAAACTTGTACTTATATTGATTTATTATACTGATTTATTTAAAATATGGTTCAGGGATTATATACACTGCCGTGGCTTAACACAGTATTGGAAACTGCCATATTCTGTATTTCAGTTGAACCATAAAGCTTTATGTATTATTCTAGTCTTAAAATAGTTATTTAAAAATAAATAAATAGCTGGGTGTGGTGGCGCACACCTTTAATCCCAGCACTTGGGAGGCAGAGGCAGGCGGATCTCTGTGAATTCAAGGCCAGCCTGGTCTAGGTAGTGAGTTCCAGGATAGCTGGGGCTTCAGGGAGACCCTGCTTCAAAAAGACAAAAATAAATAAATAAATAAAATAAAATAAATTATTTAGCCAGGCATGGGAACTTAACACTTGTAATCTAAGCACTCAGGAGGCTGAGGCAGGAAGGATTATAATGAGTTGCAGGTCACCGAGGTTACAATGAGACCCTGTTAGGGATGTAGCCCAAACAGTAGAGTGCTTGCCTAGCATGAATGAAACCTGGGTCTGATGGCCAGCAACTGGATAGCAGAGGCAAGACCAGAAGTCCAAGGTCATCCTAAAATACATAGTGAGCTGAGGTTAGCCTGGGTGTGGTGGTGCACACATTTAGTCCCAGCACTCCAGAGGCAAAAGCAAGTGGATTTCTGTGAGTTGGAGGCCAGCCTGGTCTACATAGTGAGTTCCAGGCCAGCTGGGACTACATGGAGACCCTGTCTCAAAAAAAACCAAAAACAAACACTTTACTTAAATTAGAAATGGGCCACAACAGTCATTTTGCTTCCACACCAAGAAATTTCATGACTGTTAGAGGATCAAAGGTAGACAGAAATGACCCTATGTCAAATTCCATTTGTTTAATATATTCAGCACAATACACTTATATGACTATTACCAAATATGAATCTGAGTTTTTCTTTGGAAGTGCTAAAGCCTGACATTAAAGACACTGATTAAAAAGCTTACCCTCATCTCTTAAGGTAAAACGACCCATTTGAGGGAAGTCTTTAAAAGTCTCAAGACAGATGGTTCCTGCTGTCCTCAAACGAGCAATGCATACTTGATCTTGTTTCACAAAACGGGGCCGAGTCTTACTTTTTTCTCCTGATTTTTTGTCTACCAAGCAGATTAAGGCCTATCCAAGAAAAGAGGATGAGAAGGTCAAAAAAATGTCAAATATAGGTAACTTGAAGAATAAAATGTAGGGAGCTGGGTGTAGGCACACCTTTATTCCCAGTACTCAGCAGGCAAAGACAGAGACAGGCTGATCTCTATGAGACAGAGGCCAGGCTGGTGTACATATCAAGTTCCAGGCCAGCTAGGGTACAAGGAGACCTTGTCTTTGAAAAAGAAATGTAGGGCTAGAGAGATGGCTCAGCAGTTAAGAGTGCTGGCTGCTCTTGCACAGGACCCGAGTTCAGTTCCTAGCACCCACATGACTGCTAACAACCACTTGTAAACTCCAGTTCCAGGGGATGCAATGCCCTCTTCTGACTTCTGCAGGCATTGCACAAGGTGCACTTATATGCATGCAGACAATACACTCATACCCATAAAATAAAAAATATATATATTTTAAAACAAATGAAATGTAACCCAGTAAGTGGTATTGAACACCTATGATCCCAGCATTTGAGAAGCTAAGGCAGGAGGCTCATGAGTTCCAAGCCACCTTAGCTACAAAGTAAGACTATCTCGAAAAACAAGGCTATGGAGATGTCTCCAGCAGGTGTTAAAGAAAAAAAAAAAAAGTGCTTGCCAAGTAAACTTGATGATCTGAGTTCAGTAACTGGAACTGGAGTAAAAGTGATACAGAGAGAACTGACTCCAGCCAGGTGTGTGGCCCATGCCTTTAATCCCAGCACTTGGGAGGCAGAGGCATACTGATCTCTGAGTTCAAGGCCAGCCTGGTCTACAAAATGAGTTCCAGACCAGCTGGGGCTACAGGAGACCCTGTCTCAAAAAGACCAAAAAAGAAAAAAAAAAAAAAAAAAAGAGAACTGACTCCATAAAGTTGTCCTCTGACCTTCACATATGGGTATAGCACACTGTGTCCCTCCCCCAGCTAAAAAAAAAAAAAAAAAGGTTATAACTACAAATGTATAAGCCAGGTGTGGTGACACACACCTTTAATCCCAACATCCTGGAGGCAGAGGCAGGTGGATCTCTGTGAGATGAGGCCAGCCTGGTCTACATAGCATGTTACAGGCCAGCTGTGACTACATAAAGACCCTGTCTCAAAAACAAAACAAACAAAAAGTAAATAAAAAATAGAAATGTATTAGTACTGTTGATCAGAAATTATCAAGATACAGTCTTCAAATAAAATTAATAAACCAATTAGCCTAGAAACAAACTCAACTCACTGTTATTTCGACTTCTTCAATACAGGTATGAATATGCAGCACCGCATTATACCCTGGGCAGATGATGGACTTGTGCTCTATAATTACTATCTGTCAAATTAAAAAACAAAACAACTTAATCCTTTAAAAAAACCTCAATGTACTAAAGATAAAACATCAAAAGAAGTAACAGACTTCACCATCTCAGTAGGAACAGTGGCCTTTAGGATGTGTTGCACCTTATTATTTTGTTGACAGGATGGGTCAAGTTGCCCAATCTCAAAGCATGAATTTAAGCATCATAGTCTAGAGAAATTAGCAAGTGCCAGGCTTACTTCAATTCAGCAGGTAGCCACTTATTGGCACTTTCCCTCTATATTACCCACTAATGTAATCTTATCTTTACTTCCCATAAACTCCCTAAATGTGATATCATCCTTTAATTCTTTTTTTTTTTGGGGGGGGGGGGTCTTTCTGAGACAGGGTCTCCCTGAAGCCCCAGCTAGCCTGGAACTCACTTTGTAGACCAGGCAGCCCTCCAACTCACAGAGATCTGCCTGCCTCTGCCTCAAAAAGACCAAAAAAAAAAAAAAAAAAAAAAAATCTGTTAATTAAACCAGTTACATACTATGTCACTTTCCTATGTAACCAATGGCTAAAAACATACTTGCAGATAACTATGCTGTTATTAAAATGAAGGACTTCTCAAACATTATAGATACTATACTACCGTTACTGTTTTTAAAGTGAACATTACCCTACATTTTTATCTACCATCTTGAAACTTTATGTGTAAGATATTATCTTACATTGTGATATACAAATGAGTCAAACTATTTCAATTCCTCTTATTGGTTAGGTGGCATGTCACAAATATTCAGGATAAAAGACACTGAAATTCTAGCTTCATTTCAATTTTAACTATCAAGACAACTTCAATAACTTGTTTACCTGGGCATCAAATGTGCGTCCAGAATGACAAAGATTATTAAGATCACAAAGTATGAATCCTGGAAGAATCTCCTCCTCTTCAATTCCTTTCAGTCTGATTTTGAGGTTTTCACCTGGAGCTACAGAATCGGTTTCTACATCATCAGAAAGTATTCCAAGAACTTCCACGTTGTGCTTGAAAAGAAACCAAGATTGGAGGTTTCCTGATACATTCACTGCATTACAGGACAATAAATGACCCAATGCTCATTTACTAAAGCACTACAAATCACAAGTGATGAGCCAAATTAATTTTTATGAGAAGGGACTCAAACCCAGTGACTAATGCATGCAATCTACCACTTGCTACAAAGTCCTAACTTGTTTGTCTCATTGTTTTATGTGTACAAGTGTTTTGCCTGCATGTAAAGGCACAATGTACGTGCCTAGTACCTGCAGAGGCTAGAAACAGGTGTCAGATCCTCTTGGAGTTAAGGATGGGTGTTGGCTGTCATGTGGGCTAGAACTGAACTCAGGTAGTCCAGAATAGTAACTGTTAACAACCGAGCCATCTCTCTAGTCCCTAACCTGTCATTTTTAATATAACATTCTAATAATGAAAACAGGACAAACTACACTTTCATCACTGGCCATCTGTACTTTATGGAAATATCCACTCCATTCCTTTGCCTATTACTAAATTAGGTTATTTGGGACATTTTAAGAGTCCTTCATATAGTCTGGATATTAACCCCCTATGATATACATAATTTGCACCATTTTTTTGTCTTTTTGAGACAGGGTGTCCTTGTAGCCCCAGCTGGCCTAGAGCTCACTATATAGACCAGACTGGTCTCAGAGATCTGCCTCCCAAGTGCTGGGATTAAAGGTGTGTGCCACCACACCCAGGTCAATTTGCACATTTTACAGCAACCCTATTAATTAAGAATAAAGTAGTCTGGGGTCTCTTTTTCTTTTCTCTCTGGAAGATAGGCTCTTATTATGTAGCTCTGACTGGCCTGAAACTCACCATACTGACAAGGCTTGAATTCAGAAATCCAGCTGCCTCTGCTTCCTGAGTGCTGGGATTAAAAGTGGGCACCACCATACCTGGCCTGATGTTTTTTTTTGAATGAGGGTCTTGCTTTGTAGCTCAAGCTACCCTCCAACTCACAGCGAACCTCCTCCCTTTGAAGTAGTATAATTATAGGCATGTGTCACCATGCCCAGGTCATGGGATCTATGTCTTTTAAAATGCTTTCTCACTGAGACTCAGGAGGACTAAGCTGAACTGGTTTTCTTTTATAATTTTTTTAGCTTATTTTATGTGTAGGTGTATACTGCCTGCATGTAGGTAAGTATACCCGTGTCATGCAATGCCTGCGAGGACAGAAGAGGGCGTTGGAGCCCCTGGAACTGGCATTATGGACAGTTGTTAGCTACCATGTGGGTGCTGGGATTTGAACCCAGGTCTTCTGCAAGAACAGTCAGTGTTCTTAACCACTAAGCCATCTCTCCAGCCCCCTTAAATTTTATTTCTTAAAAATAATTTTTTGCCGGGCGTGGTGGCGCACGCCTTTAATCCCAGCACTTGGGAGGTAGAGGCAGGCGGATCTCTGTGAGTTCAAGGCCAGCCTGGTCTACATAGTGAGTTCCAGGACAGCTGGGGCTACAGGGAGACCCTGTCTCAAAAAGACCAAAAATAATAATTTTTTACTTATGCATATATGAGTGTATGCACATGTCTGTGGGTAGCCCCAGAAGCCAGAAAGATACCCTGAAGCTGGCATTATAGGCAGTTGTGAGCTACCCAACATAGGTGTTGGCAACAGGTCCTCTGGAAGAACAGTGACAGTCTTAGCCACTAAGCCATCTCTAGCCCTGAACTGAGTTTTTAAAGTTATTTAACAGTTCTATGACACAATATCCTCACCCAGTAATTAGTAAAAAGTGTCAGCCTCAGCCAGGTGTGGTGGAGCATGCCTGTAGTCCCAGCACTGGGAGGCAGAGGCAGGCGGATTTCTGTGAGTTCGAGGCCAGCCTGGTCTACATAGTGAGTTCCAGGCCAGCTGGGGCTACAGGGAGACCCTATTTCAAAAAGACAAAAAAAAATAAAAGGTGGCAGCCTCCACACAGAAAACCAGCCTCTTCCTCCATACTAGTTACTAAGGCCCCTCACCTGCAGATATACTTGGGCACTAATTACACTTGCTGATAGAGAATTTTTATTTTTTGTGGTGGTCTAATGCATCTAACATAAAATTTATCCTTTAAAACAATTTGCAGGGGCTGGGGAGATGGCTCAGCTATAAGAGCACTGCTATTCTTGGAGGACCTAGATTTCATTCCCAGCACCACATGGGTGCTAACAAGGGACCCCATCTCACAGTTTCAGAGGACCTGTCACTCTCTTCTGGCCTCTGTGGGCACGCATACACAGGTACACTTAATATACATGTAGGCAAAATACTCATAAGATAAAAATAAATTTAAAAAGGTAAAACCATTTTGCAGTGTATAATTCAGTAGCATACAACTACCACTGTTTAGTTTCAAGGTATCTTCTTAGCCCCTAAAAGAAAACCCACTAAACGGTCATTCCCTGTTATCCCTCCCAGCCTCTTGCAATACCTGGTTACTTACAACAGCTCTACAGTAAAAAGAGCAGTCAGAAACTTACAAAGGAATAATTCATACTGACTTTTCATACTTTAATATAACTCTAATAAGACAGGAAGTTTAAAAGACCCATTTAGGATAAAGAATGTAGTCTCTGCTTTCAAATCAAAAGCAAAACTTGGGGACACTCATTCATTAAAATTTTCCCATTACAAAAACCGTAAGTTAACCACATAACATATTCACAAAAACTCAAGAAAGAAAAACCACTCACATGCTGGGTATGGTGGCCTTTAATCTCAGTGCTCCAGGCAGAGGCTGGTGGAGCTACAGGGAGACCCTGTCTCAAAAAGAACCCCCTCTCCCCACCAAAAAAAAACCCACTCACCAACTTTTTTTGGTCTTTTTTTGAGTCAGGGTCTCCCTGTAGCTCAGAACTCACTATGTAGACCAGGCTGGCCTTGAACTCAGATCCGCCTGCCTCTGCCTCCTGAGTGCTGGGACTAAAGGTGTGCGCTACCATGCCCGGCCCACTCACCAACTTTTAACAACCTTTAGATAACAGAAATCAAATAAGCAAAAACAAAACAAAACAAAACCTCAAGAAAAATTAAAAATTTTAACCAACTTTAATAGCCACTCAGACTGTATTCTCTCCCAGAGAGAGAGAATAATCAACAGCAAAAGGCAGTTACAATAGTACAGCAGCAGTAGCCAGCTTCATGCTCAGGAGACTACACACTTGATCTCATAGTTTCTTGTATTCAAACATCCAGAGAAACTTCTCTAGTGGCAAATTATAGAAATGATCCCTGAAGTACACTTTTGGACACATTATTTAAAAATATTTTTATGGCATTTTATGTGTATGAGTGTTTTGCCTGCCTGCATGTATATAAGGCATCACATGCATGAAATGCCTGCAGAGGCCAGAAGAGGGTGTTGTATCCCCTGAAACTAGAGTTATGGACAGCTGTTAGCTGACATGTGGGTGCTGGGAAGCAATCCCAGGTCTTCTGGAAGAACAGCAAATGTTCTTAACTGCTGTGCTATCTCTAGCCCAACACAGTATTTTAGTCTGTGTCTTGTCTCTCTATCCCTCTCCCTCTCCCCACTCATCCCACCAACAGAATTAAACCTGAGTTTTCTTTCCTTGCTTTCTTACTAAACTGTTTTGTCAGCCCAAAGCAAGTTACTTAACCATGCCAAATCTAAACTTTTTGGTCCACTGTAATAAGTGGGACTGGCTGATTTCCTTCACAGTGCATCTTCTGGCTCTAACATGGTGTTAATATTGTCCCTTCAACTGTCGTTGAGTTGTTACCCTATTTATTCTCATATTTCACACTTGGCATTAATAAAACAACCCCTACTTTAAAAAGCTAAGTTTTTAAAATTCCTAAGCTTTTGAAATGTATGGACTCCACTAACATTTTCAAGAGAAAATCTAATTAAGAACATACTAAGCTCTTACCTTGTTTGGCATCATTACAAGCTGCTGGCCTTTGCAAATAGATCCAGATTCCAGCTTTCCCAGGACCACAGTCCCCATATCCTGTTCAAATTTAAAATGAAAAATGTAAAAGTTTCAGACTTTTATTGCTGATCTGTAGCAGTGGAATAGCTTTAGTTTAACTAGGTGGTAGAATGCTTAGGATTAATCTTTAAAATAGAGGAGACAACAAATACTCTGTAATCATTTGTGTCAGTCTCAAGTATAATTATATTAATAATGAAGCATACCTATGATTTAGAAAGAAAACTCCAGAAAACTTCATGTGGTACAGAATTTTATGTTGGAAGATCTGATTGGTTTGTAAAGTTTAGAATAGTACTAATAAAAGGACAAAATACTTGAGGCAAAGTATTACAAGAATTTTTAATGCCCTTATACTTCAAAACAAACCTACTTAAAATTCAAGTTGAAAATCCAGCTAAAAACAATGAAATGCACTTTTTTCTTTTTTTTTTTTTTGAGAGAGGGTCTCACTGTGGGGCCCCAGGTGGCCTGAAACTTGCTACATAGACATCTGGCCTGGAACTCAATAGAAATTCACCTGCCTCTGCCTAGGATTTGCACAATGCCTGGCAAAGTGTGTTCTGACAAAATGAGCCCTCATATGTTTGGTGATATTGTAAGTTAGCACAGTATTTTTGCAAACAAGGCTACCTATCAATTTTAATGTAAAATCTTTCAGACCAGTCCCTTCATTGTATCAAGCGTTTGCAGATAAAAATGACAACATCTAAATAAACTATGCTTGTTGAGTAAATTATGGTCTACCATATGTAACCACTAAAAAGTATTAATGTAATCTATAACAAAACACATGGATTTTGCTCCCATGAAATCCAGTAACTTTAATATTTAAGGCACCTTGTACTTATCGACAATCGGCAGCCTGATTGGTCCATCAACTGATCTATTGAAGTTTGGCAAATTATCCAGATATGGAATAAATGGCAAGCCACTGAGAAAAGAACAATACCCATTAAAGAAAGTTGACACAATAATACTTTTTAAAAAAATCTACAAAGTTCTATTATTGTAACTTAAACCAGACATGATTATCACATTTTGACATTCCTCATTTAATAATGTATTACCCATTTCATGACACTTATACAGCAGAAAACTAAACTTTACTAAAAAAAGCTTCCTTAAGCCAGATATGGCACACAGGTGCCATTTTAGCGTGGGAGTGGGGCACTCAGGTAATTCCTAAATTCAAGGCTGACCTGGGCTTAATGAGACTTGTCTCAAAAAAGAAAACAAGGGGGTGGAGAGATGGCTCAGTGGTTAAGAGCACTGGCTACTCTTACTGAAGACCCGGGTTTGAATCCTAACACCGATGTGGCAGCTAACAACCATCCATAACTTCAGTTCCAAGGGATCTGACACCCTTTTCTGGCCTCTGTGGGCACTGCACACAGGTGGTACATATACATCCATGCAGACAAACATTCATACACAGAAAAATAATGAATAGAAAAATAACTGAGAAGAACCAAAATTTTCTGGCTGATTTCAAACTTCAAAGTTCTGTAGTAAGCAAGATTGTACATTATTAGCCTTCGATTAAAGACAAGAAAACAGAAGAGAACTGAGACTCAAGAAATAATCTCTTAACATTTATGGTTATTTAATTTCAATGAGGGTGGCACTCCAATGAAGAAGAGTCAGAGCTAGAAAGATGGCTGAGTGGTTAAGAGCACTGGCTGCTCTTGCATAGAGCGTGGATTCATATCCCACCACCCACAAGGTGGCTAACAACCATCAGTAACTCTTCAGGGGATCCAATACCTTCTTCTGTCCTCTGAGGGCACTGCATAACATGGGTACACATACATACATGTAAGCATGATACTCATACACATAAATATTTAAGAAATAGTCTTTCTGGGCCTGGCGTGGTGGTGTAGGCCTTTAATCCCAGCACTTGGGAGGCAGAGGCAGGTGGATCTCTGTGAGTTCAAGTCCAGCCTGGTCTACATAGTGAGTTCAAGGACAGCTGGGGCTATAGGGAGAAGCTGTCTCAAAAAAAGACCGAAAAAAAAAAAAAAAGACCAAACAAAAAGTTAAGACTTTTAACACTTAAATTACAGGGCTAAGTATCTTGTTTGTGGGTTTTTTGGAGATGGTAACACTATATAGACTAGGCTGTCTTCAAACTTGCAGTTCTATCTTAAAGGGCTAAATCTCTATGACCTTGGATCAGTCAATGTTTTTTCAATTTAAATTAAAAAAAATAATTTGATTTAAGCTGGGCGTGGTGACGCACGTCTTTAATCCCAGCACTTGGGTGGCAGAGGCAGGCAGATCTCTATGAGTTCAAGGCCAGCCTGGTCTACATAGCAAGTTCCAGGTCAGCTGGGGCTACAGGGATACAGGGAGACCCTGTCTCAAAAAGACCAAAAAAAATTTTTTTTTGATTTTTTATTTTATGTGTATGAGTGTATTGCCTGCGTGTATGTGAGTACACCCGTGTTGTGCAATGCCGCTGGGGTCAGAAGAGGGCCTCGGATTCCCCTGGAACTGGAGTTAAAGACAGTTCATAGCCGCCATGTGGTGCTGGGACTCGAACCCAGGGTCCTCTGCAAGAGCAGCCAGTGCTCCCAACTGCTGGGCCATCTCTCCAGCCCCTCAATTTAAAATTTAAATTACATTTATTTACTATGTGTTTATACACACAGAGACGGTTGGATTAAGAGCACTTGCTGCTCATGCAGAGGTCACAAGTTCAGTTCTAGGCACACATGTCAGGTAGCACACAACAACCTGTAACTACAGCTTTAGGAGGATCTGACAAATCTGGCTCCCTCGGGCAACTATTCTCATACACATATCCACGTAAAGACACAAGTATTCCACATCAGCACAACAAATACGCATAGAATGGAAGAAATATGTGCTGAATGCTCATAATGTATCTAGTAAGGGACTGGTATTCAGTACATAAGAAACCTTCTGGATTTCTGTTTGGGTAGGACTGGGAATTAAAGCAAAAGAGCCTCATGCTTACAAGGCAAGCAACCCTGACTGAGTAGTATCTCCACTGCCCATAAAGAACTATCAAGACTCAGGGCTGGAGAGATTGCTCAGTGGTTAAGAACACTGGTTATTCTTGCAGAAGAACCAGGTTTGAATCTCAGCACCCACATGGCAGCTAACAACTGTCTGTAACTCTAGTCCCAGGGGATCCGACAGCCTCTTCTGACCTCCATGGGCACTGCACAACACGGGTGAACTTACCTACATGCAGGCAATACATACATACATAAAAAAAACAAAAAAACAAAAAACTATCAAGACTGAAAAAGACCACGTAGGGCTAGAGATATGGATGAAGGGAGAAAGTACTTCCTGTACAAGCATGATGATGTGAGTTTGGATTCCCAATACCCACATAAAGGCCAAGTGGTGGTGTGCACTGTTATTCCCAGCCCTGGCGAGGCAGAGACAAACTGATCCCAGGGGCTCACTAGCCTATCGTTCTAACTGTAACAGGGAACTTCAGGTTCTGGGACTGTCTCAAAAAGTAGAAAAACAGAGAACCTGTTATCAACCTCTGGATAAGTGTACCCCCACACAGGCAAGAACATACAATACTACACTCCAAAATAAGGGGAGGGGGCACAGCATATTTAGAAAAACAAAGGTCCTGTTGTTTTGTATTTTTGTTTTGACTTCCTTTTTTGAAACAGGGTCTCTTGTGTAGCCCCAGCTGGCCTAGAACTCACTATGTAGACCAGGCTGACCTTGAACTCACAGAGATATACCTGCCTCTGCCTTCCAAGTGCTGGGACTAAAAGCGTGTGCCACCATGCCCATGGGTGCTGGTATTTTTAAAGCCAGGCTATAGACTAAAATGCTTCAATTACTTATTAATATATACCCCACTCCCTTTTTAGAAAGATAATAAAAGGTTACTCACATGTACCAAGGACAAAATTCTGATTGCTCTTTGAGATTTGCTCCAGTTAGTCCTGAGCAGGGCATAAAATGAATGTCCTTTTTGGGATTGAAGCCAACTTTTTTCAAAAACGGCACTAATTTCTCTTTACATTCTTCGTATCTACGAATATTCAGAAGTAACTATGTCAACTAAATAAACTTAATTTCATGAGTAAGCAAATTAAAAGTTTAGTAAAACTTGGAAAAAAAATACATAAATATAAAAACCATCCTTTTTTCATTGGAACATTCATAATGAAAGCTGTAAAGCATCTAAGCTTACCTCTCATTGCTCCAATTTACTGTTGGATCATCCATCTTATTAATAAGCACAATTAAGTGTTTTACACCTGCTGTCTTTGCCAACATTGCATGTTCTCTTGTCTGACCTCCTTTTTCAAATCCAGTTTCAAACTCTCCTTTTCTGGCGGAGATGACCTATTCCAAAAAAATCAAGTAATTTATTCTTATACATTGAGACATCTCCCTTTTAGCAGTAAAATGTTCTTCCTTTCAGTTCTGTTAAGAGGGTTTTCCAAGAAAATGGAAGCAAATGTGTTGCAATGGACATGTCACTTTTGAAGATTAAATGTCTCAATGGTTTAAGATTTGAGAGTTTGGGGTTGGCTAGGTGTGGCTCAGTGGTAGAGTTAGCTTCAGTAGAGTTCAATCTACAAGCACTAAAACAAACAAACAAAATGTTTTGTCTAACCCCTAAAATTCCCCAAATCTAGGATACTGCTATATAGTTCAGACATTTCAAACACTTGCTTCAGGCTAATGATTTGATGAAATGTGCAGTTTAGCAATTTCTAGGCTCTGGATTTAATCTATTATTCTATAATAAGACACAAAGATAACAGCAACGGAGAAAGAAAATGTTAACCAGGCGTGGTAGCCCATGCCTTTAATCCCAGCACTCCAGAGGTAGAGGTAGGCAGATCTCTGTGAGTTCAAGGCCAGCCTGATCTACATAGTGAGTTCCAGGACAGCTGGGGCTACAGGGAGACCTTGTCTCAAAAAGACCAAAAAAAAAAAAAAGTTAAAATGTATTCTTAGAAGTAAATTATGATGCTTTCTTGGATAGATAGGTATGACAAAAATTAATATTGTGATTATATACAATGTTAAACTCCATTGCAATCTAAATTCCAACTTTTACAAGGTAAATTAGAATATTAAAGGTAAATTGCTATAGCTCAGTGGTAGAACAGTGCTCAGCAATCTGCAATAGCCATAGGTTCAACGTTAGCACTGGGAAAGAAAAAAAGATCTAGGTAGGGCTATTTATACTAAATATACATGAATTATATCTTTCTTACCAGCACAGCCAAGTCAGCTTGAGAAGCACCACCAATCATATTTGGGACAAAACTCTTGTGGCCAGGAGCATCTAGAATTGTGAAATGCTTCTTTTCGGTTTCAAAATAGGCACGACCCACTTCTACTGTTTTACCCTTGTCTCGTTCTTCCTGATTTGTGTCTAAGGCCCAAGACAAGTACCTGGAAGAATTTTTAAATGAGTGTGAAATATCTTTAAAAATACTGTTCTGAGCCAGGTGTGGTGGCACACGCCTTTAATCCCAGCACTCGGGAGGCAGAGGCAGGTGGATCTCTGTGAGTTCAAGGCTAGCCTGGTCTACATAGTGAGTTCGGACAGCTGGTGAGACTGGACGATGGGGTCTAAAGGGGAACCCGTCAAAAAAAAAAAAAAAAAAAAAAAAAAAAAAAGAAAGAAAGAAAGAAATGTGTACTTCACTATCATTGTTCTACCATTAAATATGTAATTAAAATCTGACACCCAGATTCATGTTATTTGCGTTATAAACAGGACTAGTGAAAATAAAAACTTAAGAGAACTAAATGTGAATTGTTACAAATTAAATGTACATTGTTATGATTCAAATAGAGTTTTTACTTATTTCCATGGTCAATTTGTCTATAAACAAACATTATTCTTTTTTTCCAGGAAGTGGGGGGCAGTACAGTCTTTTTTGAGACAGGGTCTCCCTGTAGCCCCAGCTGGCCTGGAACTCACTATGTAGACCAGATTGGCCTCCAGCCAGCCTCTGCCTTTGGAGTGCTGGGATTAAAGGCGTGCCCACCACGCCCAGCTAAACAAACATTCTTAAAAATAAAATGACATCTGTAGAAAGACTTAATGCTGGGCATGGTGTTAAACATCTGTAATTCCAACACTGGGGAGACTGAGGCAGGAGGATATTGAGTGTTTAAGGCTATGCTGTAAGAGCAAGATCCTGTAGGAACAACAGAAGAAAGAGAGGCAAGAAGGAAAGAAAAATAGTCATATTATTAAGTACGATGCCACTGCGTAATGAGCTCCTTACTGGGACTGGGCTACAGAGTAAGATCTTTTTTTCTCTTTCTCTCTTAAAAAGGTGGGGGGTTGTCTTTCCACCAGGGTATCAACCACATTATGTTGCTAAAAATCACTGCTATTACCTCACTGTGTAAATATTACATAAATAATTTTACATAAATCATTTCAAACTATCTGTAATAACAGCTTATAATCTTTTTTTTTCTAACATTATTAAGACATTTTCCTTTTTCTGTCTGAGACAGGGTCTCCCTATAGCCACAGTAGACCTGGATTCGCTATGGAGACCAGGCTTGCTTCGAAATCACAGAGATCCACCTGCCTCTGCCTCCCAAGTGCTCTTTTTCCTTTTAATATGGAGGAATATAGTCTTTTTTAAAAGGAGCAACAATGTCTCACTGAGGTGAGGGCTCCAAATTTTTTGTCCTAAAGTGCTAAGGATTGAACCCAGGTTTCTCACTCATTAAGTAAGCACTCTAACACTCACTTACATTTGCACCATAATTCACTGGTAAAATTACAAAGCACTGGGGCTGGGGAGATGTTTTAGAGGTTAAGAACACTGATTGTTCTTGCAGAAGACCAGGGTTCGAATCCCAACACCCACATGACAGCTAACAACTGTCTGAAACTAGGGAATTCGATGGCCTCCACTGTCCTCCACAGGCATTGCATGACATGGGTGCAGGCAATACACACATACACATAAAATAAAAATAATAAATAAAATATTTCAAAAAAAAAAAATTACAAAGCACCACCAGGTATGGTGGTACACGCCTTTAGTCCCAGCACTTGGGAGGCAGAGGCAGGTGGATCTCTGAGATCAAGGCCAGCCTGGCCTACATAGTGAGTTCTAGGCCAGCTGGGGATAGAGATATCCTGTCTCAAAAAGACCAAAAAATAAATTAATTAATTAATTAAAAACCACAAAAAAGCCACAAAAAACTGTCAATAATAGTAATTACATCCATTCTTGCCTCCAGTATTTATTTACATTATGATCACATGTTAGGCACAATGTTTCCTTTCTCTCCAAATGCTACTGCAATATAAGTTCTATTCTTACTCATTATAAAATTTATAAATATAATATTTTAAGTTACACAATAACCCAACTATAAATGGATAGTTTATAATTTATTAAACAACTCTTCTACTACTATATGTTTGGGGCGGGCTTCCAAATTTTCTGTGTGTAAATTAGAAAATCATCAGAACCAGTCTACAAATTATGAGAGAGAATAAAACTTCCTTTATTATGATACCATTTTAAATGACAAATTTTGTTTACTCATTTTCTTGAGATAGGGCCTAACCTTGTTGCCCAGGCTGGCCCCAAACTTCGGGACTCCAGCAATCCACCTGCCTCAACCTCTAGGCATGTAACACTGTGTCTGGTTAAGAATTTATATTCAGCCCGGTGGGGTGGTACACGCCTTTAAGCCCAGCACTTGGGAGGCGGAGGCAGGGCAGATCTATGTGAGTTTTCAAGGCCAGCCTGGTCTATATAGTGAGTTCCAGGCCAGCTGGAGCTATAGGGAGACCCTGTCCCAAGAAGACCAAAAAACAAAAACAAAACAAAACAAAAAAAAGAATTCATATTCCAACAGACCACAAAAGCATTAAGGGTACAATATATCCTTTAAAAGTAATTTATAGTATCATTAACATTTACTATACCAAGTTTCTCTGTTTTTTTCTTTAGCTTCTCTTTCATATTTTTCAAGTGTCCTTTTGTCAACCATTCCAGTCAAATACCTGAAAACAGAGGAAAAAGTAAACAATTATCCAATGAAATTAGGAAAACTTTAAAGCCCTTGAAGGGAATCAGAACTGCAGAAAACAGCGATTTAATATTTTTTAAACTGACTTATGTGTTTATTTATGTGTGCATGCTCAAGCTACCAGAGTGTATATGAAGGTCAGAGGCTAGTTTGTGGGAGTCAGTTTTTCTCCTTCTGCCATGTGGATTCCAGGGACTGACTGACGATGCTCAAGCTTAGATAGTAAGCACCTTCACCAGCTAGGTCATTGCTGAGCCATCTCACTGGCCCCAAAGCAGCTCTTTCAAAGTAATCTCAACTCATATCAATACTTTGTAAAATCTATTGAATAATTAAAGCAACATTGACTTCATGAACCTCGGAGCACACACTGAGAATACAGTTGTTCTATGATATTCTTGTTAAAATGCACAACCTGGATCTAACTATGAGAAAATAGCACTCTCATCCAAATTGAAGAATTCTATGAAATAAATGAGCATTCTTTAAATTATTGAGGTGAGGGGCTAGAGCGATGGCTCAGTGGTTAAGAGTGATGCTACTCTTGTAGAAGACCTGAATTTGGTTCCCAGCACCTCTACTGGGAGGTCTGCAAGCATTCTACCTCCAGGAGATTCAACACTCTCTCTGGCCTCTCCAAAGACAAACACAGCATACACTCACATACACGTAAATAAATTTTTTTTAATCACTAAGGTCAGGGGCTGTATAGATGGCTCAATGGTTAAGAACAATGACTGCTCTTACAGAAGACCTGGGCTTGAATCCCAGCACCCACACTGTGTCTAAGAACCTTCTCCAACTCCATTTAGAGGGAATCTGACACCTTCTGTCCTCAGCAAGCACTACATGACATGGGTGCATTTACATATAGGCAGGCAAAAAACTCATACACAATGTGGAATTTAAGAACATTTAAAAAAATGGAAAAACTGGTGAAATTCAATTAAGATCTGTTGTTTAGTTAATAATGTTTACGAGTTTTTAAAAAATGAACATCAAGAGACAGGTATGGTGGCCCATACCTTTAATCCCAGCACTCAGGAGGCAGAGGAAGGCAGATCACTGTTAAGTTCTAGGTCAGCCAGGGCTACAGAGAGAGACCTTGTTTCAAAAATAAAAAAGGGGGGGGGGCAGGGCTGGAGAGCTGGCTTAGTGGTTAAGAGAGCACTGGTTATTCTTGCAGAAGACCTGTGTTCAATTCCCAGCACCCACATGGCATCTAACAACCATTTGTAAGTCTAGTTCCAGGGGATTCAACATCCTCTTCTGATCTCCGCAGGCACTGCAGACACCGGTGCACTTATCTGCATGCAAGCAATGCACACATACAAATAGAAAATAAATAAATATGTTTATATAAACAAAAAAAAATCAAAAAATAAATAAGACTATCACTATCTCATTGAAGTAGGAGCTGCAAACTTTTTTCTCTTAAGTGTTTTTTGGTTTGTTTTACAGTGCTGGGGAGTCAACTCAAAACCTTATGCATGGTAGATGAATGCTCTTAACACTGAGCTGCATCGCCCTACTTTTCCAGTTCTGGTTATTATAACATAGTTATATAGGATTTCTGACATTAGATTAAGCTGAATAAAGAGATTATGGGAACTCTTTACTGTTTCTGCAAACTTTCTGTAAGACTAAAAATGTTCAGGTTTTTAAATATAAATACTAAAGAAAAAAACATTCCACCCCTATTGTGCAGGAAATGAACTATTGTCAAAATGAAATTACACTGGGGCTGGAGAGATGGCTCAGTGGTTAAGAGCAATGGCTGACTGCTCTTGCAGAAAACTCTGGTTCAGTTCCCAGCACCCACATGGCAGCTAACAACTGTTAATAACTTCAGTTCCAGGGAGTATGATGTCCTCTTCTGACCCCTGCCAGCATTGCATATGGGTACACATGTATACATGTAGGCAATACACTCACACATAAAATAAAATAAATAAAATATATTTTAAAATGAGATTATACTGGTAGAATAGCTCATTAGTTTTGCCTGCTAGCTTTGACTCAATCCAAATCAAAGTTCCCCATCTCTAACTCTCATTCCAAATAGTCTCCAGGACAATGCTCTTCAACACCTGAGTGTAGAAAAACCACTGAAAAACCACCAAATAGCCCATAAGCAAAAAACATTATTTTTGTTGAAAAATATTAAAATGAGCATAACACATCAATCCACAGAGCCTTAGCTAAGAATATCTATTTTAAGGAAATTTTCTAAAGTAAAAGCAAAACTACCATTTAAGGGTAGTCACTTGACAACACAATGACATGCCTTCTGGATAGTCTGATGACACAGCACGAACAAACAATTACAAATGTAGGACCTTCTAATTAAAGATTTATCGGGCTGGGGGGATAACCCAATGCATAGAGTTTGTTGTGTAAGCCTAACAACCTGAGTTCTGATCTGAGCATCGTGGCACATGCCTTTAAATCCCAGCACTCAGGAGGCAGAGGCAGGCAGATCTCTGAGTGCGAAGTCAGCCTGGTTTACATATCGAGTTCCAAGATCAGCTGGGGCTGCAGAGACCCTGTCTCCAACAAAAACAGAAAACTAAAATGCATTACTAGAAGCTGATCATAGTATCTTCATACCTACGTAGCTTGTATAAAAATGTAAAATTGGGGGCTGGAGAGATGGCTCAGTTGTTAAAATGCTTGACATGCAAAAAAGGACTGGCGTTCGGATCCCCAGAGCCCATGTGTAAATGTTGGATGGGAGTGGCCACCTGTGTATAATTCCAGTGTCAGAAGGAGCTCCTCAGGGGATCCTAGATCAGGAGAGCTCTGAATTTGACTGAGAAACCCTGCCTCACTGAGTAAGCTGACATTAACCTCAGACCTCCACATGTATGCCCACACATGTGTACATACTTCTACACATACATGTGCCAACAAACATGTAAGCATGCATACACACACAAATGGAAAAATAATAAAAACTAAAGTGATAAAAACTTGGCCAGACTACCTTGCCTTTGATTAAATCCACATAAATTTCCGGAGCAAAAGAACAGTTTACTCATTCATGAGTCAAGAACAAACTTTTGGTTTGGGGACATAGCTCAGTAATAGAGCTCTTGTTTAGTATGCACAGGTCCTGGGTTCAAACCCCAGCACCAGAAGAAACAGACAACTAGCTTTTATGAATTCTGAATAAATTACACGTTTTCCTCCACTTCCAATTGGTTATATCCTATTCCATCATAAGTCAAACATGTATTTCAGTCAGGCATGGTAGAGCAAGCCTTTAATTGCAGCATTCAAGACAAGAGGAGTGCTACAAACTCAAGGCCAGCCAGACTACACGTGAGAACCTGTCCCCAAAAAACTAAAAGAATTTTAGCCAGGCACATTGCATACTTGTAATCCCAGCATCTGGGAGACAAGAGGCAGACGTTATTAGGAGTTCTAGGTTGTCCTTGGCTATACAGTTGAGTCTAAGGCCAGCCTGGGCTACATGAAACCCTGCCTCAAAAAATATAAATAACACAAAACATCTAAACTATTTAACATCATTTCTAAGCCTAGCTGACCTTAAACAAATTCAGAATACTTACATGATTTTGTCCAACAGCAAGCTCATGTAATAAAAAGCCCATCTTAAATAAAATATATCTCATGTATATGCACAGAAGGGTACGCAAACACACACAT